TTTACTTGTGCATTTGATTTTCAAGCATTTTATTATAGATAATGTTTTTCATGAGAATTATTAATATTACAAAACATCGTAAAGAACTTATCAAACTTTATTGCAGTAACAAATTTTATTTTGATTAGGCCAGCTTATTTCTCAAAAGAAAAAAAATTAACCTTCCATATATTTCTTACATTCAGCGAGCAACTGTTTCCTGTTGCAATAGCTATCAGCACTGATTGAGGTTGGAGGATTGCGTCACAGCATTTTAGAGGGACATCGGTGATACTTCGATTATGACAGAACTGTCATAAAATGACAATTTCAGGCACTCACCATTCGTTAATTATTGGTTTAATTACTAACTTTATCAATAATTATTTCTCAAGAGAATGACAAATTCGGCTCAATTAAAGAGATTTTATATATTCTAATGAATATTGTAATTTTTCTTCGAAAGCTCAATTAAAGAACTATTTCTCGTAAAAAAAAATGCTCTTAAATATAAGTATTAATCATTGTTTAATTATCGAGATAAATAAAAATTTAACTTATGTTTGCCTTCAAAATGTGATTTCGATCACTTAAGGAATGTTTTAAGCAATACTATAAAATACAAATTCGCGGCTCTCCGAAAGTACGTGTATCTAATATTTAACGTTCAAAAAGTTGGCACATATCGTTATTAACAAGTAAAAACATGGCAGATTTAATGTAGGACAAACAGACAAAGTACCAGTCGCGGTTCACTCGGCCACCCAAACGGGACTCATTAAAGATCTTACTTGTCAACGAGTCAGACAATCCCTACGTGTACATGTATATGATAGATAGGTAAGTCTCCATTTTCTGCATATAAAAATGTACTAGCAATATCTAATATTTCATTTTATCCCCTCCCAACGGAGTTGGCGGGGATATACCCCGATATATTTAATTAATCGTTTTTGTGGGTGAACGAGTTAATTCCGTGAGAAACGGAAGTGGCGTAATTTGCCTCGGGATCGATGCCGAATGCCGTCTTGATATAGAAATATTTGCAAGGGAATGCTCCGCTTTGCGATGGCCTTGATGTTGAGGTCGGTGATGTTGCTCGCTAAGCATTTTTTATAAGGAACAGGGTTTATGTTCTCTAAAATGCTCACGTTGCTTGTGACATGCGATGTTACGTGACTGACCCCGTATTTTACTGACCTAAGAGGAACGTGAATTTGTGCTAGTACTTAAAAGTCAGGAATCGTCAAACATATCCAGAATCTGACCTTTATCCTCTCTAAAATCTTATGTAATTATTTGTATTTCACAGAGAATATTACGCCCAAGAAAAGTATCAAATTTGATATACACTGGAAGACCACCGGAATAAAATATTATAGGAAGCTGTTAGAACCGTCCTGTTTGTTTACATTACAAACTCTTACGCTATGATACAAAAAGGAAGCCTGGTTGCCCTGTGAAAACGTAAAACCGAACATAATACGCCGATTGCTTCCCATCACCAAAACGTTGCTATAAATCTACATTATTGTTTAGATTTTCATGGAGCCGCTCAAATTAAAATCATTTTTGATTTGACTTTCTGAGACTTTTGACATTTTTGTGCTTTGTTCCTGTAGTTATGTAATTTAAACTTTTCCACATCGTTGCCGTTTGCCCGTTTGCTATCGGAGACATCAAGGCATCTAATTCTAACCAACACTCCGCAGTCTAATATGGTTCTTATATATAATTTAGTCTTTTGATGGTATTGATCTTTTATCTCCGATAATCTAATTATCTACATATATTCCAATAACATAAAAAGTAATAAAAAAAAACAATTCCATAAAATTCAAATCTCTCATGCGTTATGAAAATAATGAAAAAGGCGGACGGAAAATGTAGATTATGGATTTCCATTATGCAGAGCTGAAAGAGTTGCCCAGAAAGAGCAAAATATTATTGCTAACAAATTAAACCTACTGATGCCAAAGTACCTGGTCCGTTACCAGCATCGCTTTTCTAAAGAAAGATGGGTGTGAGGGAGTCAATATTTTATCAGTCAGTCATTTACTAATAATTACACTTAACGTTCAGAAATACAAGTCCGTATTCATATTTGAAAGTCATGGCATAATATTGTTATATTTTTTGTCCAATCCTGCGGGACGACTGCCTAATAAATCGGTGTCTTCCGCGGGCGAAAACGAGGCAAAAGTTTCTCTGCCGCCAAAACCTCTCTAAATATACACACATCAATGGAGTGAATTTATGATCTGATATTACAAATCAAGTCAAATTAGACAGCAATATCGATAAGGGTTCAGAAAAATGGAGAAAAAAGCAATTGGGTAATTAGATGAATCAGATGAAATAGGACGGTCTTTTTACCTCGGCAGCTGGTTATCTGTGACGCCGCCGAGCGGTGGCTCCCGGTGTCATTTAGTGTATCGATCTCCTGACAAAACGGACCTCACTAATCAGGGAAAAATACCCCAACTCGTCTCAATTTTACAGCAAACTCAATCATGAAGTAATTACCTGCTTATTTATGTGTCTATTGCGTTTTTTGATACATATACGATATATAAAAAAATATATTATTTTTAATCTTACAAAGATGATTCCTTTAATATCATTCATTATAAGTGAGTATATACCCCTGGGTACATGTATATGGTATTAGTATGTAAGTAAAAAAAACATCTTTCTGAATTATTTTTTATGCGTGCCCTAAATGGGCTGGACTTTGACGATAGCGAATAAATTTTGAATTGTCTATAGAAATTGTATTTACAAACTTCTATGTTTTATTCAGATTATATACATTTTACCTTGAAAGGGAGTTGTCATTATTTCTGATTGATTGAAAGATGTATATGTTGTTTTACGTCTCCTTCCAAAGTAATTTCTCGTAAAGAGGCGCCACCATATAAAGGGGCTAAGGGCTACTGAGCAGTCAGGGTTCTTTGTCGTGCAACGTCAAAGACCTCGGTTTTTTAAAGGTTTCATCTAAAGGACCTACAGTTTTGACGTTCACCAAGCTTGGCGAAGTAACGGACACTTTATACTTTATGTCTTGTGTTTAACGTGGCCCTGATCATGAAGCAACCGCCTTCTACTACTTAGTCACTGTGACCATTATTCCAAAAATTATTCGAGTATGACTAGATTCCGAAAGTATACTACAATTGTAACTTTATTAAAGACAAGCAGCGGGAAAATGTGAATGATGACGGGTCTCCTTCCGAAGAGGAAGTCATTTTCGTCAAGTTAAATCCCCGTAGACTTAGAATTTGCAGCCATGTCAAAATACTGGTTCAAATGAAGGATTCATTTCATAACAGGAAGTTTAAGAATAAAATGATCTATTGATTGAATTCAATTTAAAAGCAAAAGTATTTAAAAATTAAATTGAAATGCAAAATGTCATGATGTAGGGGTATCGTGGGAGGCTATCAAAAATATATAGTATAATGTCTTAAATAATTTTTTAAGTTAAATTTAAAAAAATAAAAAAAAAAAACAGAATTTAAAAGCAATGTGTACATGTTCACTTAAACTTGAGTTAACAGAATTGTAAAATTGAAGTAAAGTCCTCCCAAGAATTTCAAAGCTTACCTTGAATAATTCGTCTAAATTAAGCATATGAATATACAATCTCATAAGATCCTATTATCAATGAAAGGCACAAACCCGAAAAATATTTCTTCAAATGTAAGTCAATTCATCATTTAACATATTTCTGGTAAAAACTTTTATAAATGAGTAAATACATTTATATAAACCAGGAAATGATAAAGGCATGTATTATAGACAGTTGGATGATAGATATATCAGGTGTGAGGGCAAGCCGTAATATTATTTTACATGTACATATATTGTAGATATTTTTGGCGTAATATTAAATTAAAATGCTATATAATAAAAAAAAATCTTCCCCACAGAAACTTATAGATGAGTTTCATGCAGTGGGCCAGTGCACTGCTGGTGTACTTTAAATTTTTTCGACAAAAATAAACATATAAAATTCATAAAGTCATTAAAAACGTTACGAACTCTCTAAAGCTTTGTATATTTTTCCAATCTTTAAATAAAAAGAAAAAGACGTTTTATCTCCACCTCCATAACTTCTTTTTTATACAGACTCATGCATTCCAGGTAATTTTAATATCAGAAAAGACCGATGATTTTAGTTTATCCACCTCTAAAACAATTATGGTCGTACGATTCATCCGAAGAAAATGACATTGATTTTGATGTGGTGGGATTAAAGTGAGTAATACACAATAAAACTATCAAAAATAGGGGCGTGTTTATCCCATGAGTCGACCAGACCAAAGTTCTTCAAATAGTTAAGTGTGAAAAAATGAATGGTTAGGCTCTTGTTGATTCAACCTGTAGGTTTATATGGGGTACTTGAAAATTCTGAATCAAAAGTGTAGGATGGCTTGTATAACGTGCTCCAAAGAAATCGTACACGCTGTTGCATACTTAGTGATATGAACTTGGAATTCGTTTAGATGACACGTAAATCTACGGCGCTATTCTCAACCCCTGCTAAGCCGATTACAACCGCAAACACAAAATAAAGGATTTTTCAAACAACAATACACAAAGAACTAAATATATTTAATTTTCAGAACTTTGAATAGATGAAAAGTTTTGAGATATCTTAACATTTACTGTTAATTCAATTAAAGTCTAGGGTGAGAATTTTCGGCGAGAATCTAAAGTAACATGACTCTTAGTGTACCGACTTCTACACCCGTATTTCCGTCAGTCTCAAGTTAAACAATTAAAACACGATGCAACTTAAGTCCACTGTCATTGATGGTAAATGTTTTCACTCGTATTTCACCATAAATGTTTGAAGACAGAAACTCAGGCAATTAAAGAATTTCGTATCTTTTGACATTTATTCCAAAGAAGAATAGATTAAATTCAATCCTTGATTTTTATCGCATTTTTCCAAAATAAATTTTTACAATACATATGATACTTAAGTCTATACATGTACTGTATTACATACGTACCTCTAGTGAAAATTGTCCACAGTATAAAAATCACAACACTGAAACAAGTGTCCCAGTTCAAAATCTTCATTTCTTAGTACATGTGAAATTAATCCAAAATGAATTAATCCGTCAGTTCATAATAATATAACTCCATGTACTACAAACTGTAGCTGTTAATATATATTTTCCACCAGATAAATGACAATATTTGAATAAGTTTCCCATGCACCTTAAGATGCAGTTTAACCCTCTTCATCAAAGCCACGTGCTCTGATTACTGCTCCAGGAATTCTCCTGTCACAACACACGCAACTCAGACTGCGCGCGCCATCCGATTGGTGGTTACTCGGCTGTTAACTCGCAGACGACCACCTCCCGCCTCTCGTCTACTGAGACTGCACGAGTCTGCGACAGGCCCGGCCCGGTGATCAAACGTAAACCTGGGACAATAAATGTGCAACTGTTTCTATATATAATTTAAACGGTACCGGTGATTTTCTTTCTTGCGTGTTCTATTTTGTAGACTTTGGTCGCAAAAATAGAAATTAAACAGGGAAAACAAGAAATAAAGAACAAGAAAAAGGAGATTCCTCTTTGGTGATCGCAATACAACCGAATTAAATATTGACATGGGTCCAGTTTCAACAAATGTCAGCAGATTAAACTATTTTTTCCATTAAAATAATATTTTTATTTCTCTTTAAGTTTTGTCAACCTATCCTTCGCTCATATCTGCAAAAACACGTCCTTTCTGTATAGATTTTTTTGGTTTAAAGAAATCAGAAAAGATGTGATCGATTTTCGTATACAACTCTCTAATCGGGTTCGGAATTTAATTATTTATTAGTCTGAATGGTTAATTGTAGAGTTATTAACTTCACCAGAGGGACAGTATAACTACAAAAGAGTCAGAGTCGGACCTTTTTAAGAAGTTAACTACAGAGCCGGACTGACATATGTCAACTAATTACTGTAAATCCATTTTTCTTAACCCACTCAAGGACGATCGACTTGTAAACGGAGATTATCCAAGATTTAGAGCGTTGTCACACAAGAAATGGGATCATTTATTAATTATGGACCAAAAGTCAACCTTTCACCTTTGCCAGCCTCAGCATCGTACTCCACTTTAAGAACATAACAACGTCCATTCATTCTCTTACATTTCTTAAATAGTCCCTGTCCCCATGGACGAATCTTTTATGGCCAGTGTTTGAATTGGTAACGACATTTTTCACAAATGAAAAATGTGCATAGCACTCTGTAACACAGTTTTACTGCGTATGCAATAAAGAGCACTTATTTCACAATTGTTGAACTGCTGCAAAATGCCGTTAAAGAGAAATGAAAATTGACATGTTAGAAATAGATATAGTTTGAAAAATAGCTAAAATTATTTCTGAAACAGTGGATTCGGATCATTATAACAGTCAGAAATGCCAACAGTTGATCTTTTACTTGGTGCGTCTTTCGTTATGAACTGAACCATAATCATTCAGTGGAGGGTACCTGTAATGTTACCGACCTGTTAGGAAAGCTTTATCACAATCAAGATATAGCAATAAAATAAAAACATGATCAAACACGGTGATGGGTTTAAATCAAGAATTATTATCCCCGCAATAAGTGATAGTATCATCTCCAGACACTGCCAACACTCGATTTAGAGGAACGTATTAGCAAAGATTTAGACCCACTCCAAGGCGCTTTTTTCAACGCGGCATACAAGATGAATTTAAAGCTTGTTACAATTACATAAACATTTATAAATAAGTTCCTGGAAATGAAATCTTAGAAATAAGGACGTACAGACATGAAATTGAATGAAACCATGCCAAGTTGTATCATAAAACACGAGGTGATGAGAGAATGACGGGGCATTCACAAATTATTCCGAATTCTTCACACGAAAACACAGTAAATTATAATCTAATAAAGATACTTTGATTTTGAATATAACATAACTGACGCCTCTCACACGGGGTGGCACAGATAAGACACAGGCGATCTTCATAATACACATTAAACAAAAACGAATTCAAAAGAGAAAAATAAGGAAAAAAACATGAAACTAATTTGCATGTGGTGTTTTCGCGTTTGAGACAAATGACAACATCGAACAAATTATATACTCAAAATATCCGGAAGTTTTTACCAGCCTGAAAGAATACTCTTTAATCATTTAGGACAGGGAGAGTAATAATAGCATTAATTATACATAAGGTTCTCTAACTGACCGTTTATAACTCAATAAATGAGCCACACATCCGCAATCATAAGAAGCTGCACCTGAATGAGAGAAATGTGTCTGGACAGATCTGACATAAGTGATACATAAGTAATACTCTGCTACGACACAGCCTGATCGGCGAGGCGAAAATAGTTAGGGAAACTATCACAAGAAGAAGGTTTTCAGGACTTGAGACGCTAGCGTTTGATGGTAATGTTCATATAAACTGTGTGATATATCTTACAATGCGAATAATGAGACTTTTCTTAGAGCTGTAAGCGACGAGTATCAACAACAAAGATCTACAACCACTCTGTTAGTTTGGCGAAACATAATATTTACACTTAATATTTCTTAATATTTAAATATTTGAAGAAACACCCGTCGGTCTTGATTAACACACCAAATAGATCTCAGTCTCTGTTATGACAAATATTTTTTTATTTGATATATCTGTTTTTCTTGTTTGTATAATTAAAAATGTTTATCTATATTCTCAAGACCATAAATTGAGTAGAAGAATTTCAAATTAACCTAACTTTTGAAAAACGTAATATTGAATGTAAAACAAAGTGTTCATCATGTGTTTCTATATCAATCTTATGCAAACTTGCAACCTTTAAAGCAAAATTCAAGATATTCAAAAGATATTCAGAATCTAGATTTTGGCTTAAATGTTTTCAGTTTATTGTCCTTTGAGTCTGATTCAGTGTAAATATATAGAATTCAAGCTTGTGATTCAGTGTAAATATATTTTATTTGAAAGGAATATCTATTTTGATTCAGACATGTTTTATTTGTACAATATAGTAGAACTTAGAGGTCGATTCCATTCTCATAGATTATAAACTATTTATCTCAGCATTGGTTTGTTTGTGTCCATGGTACATTGACCCCTTCTCCTCTGACTAGCATTCCTTAATAACATGAGATCTACAGACAATAGTGGTATCCTTTCCGTTCTGTCTCAGACTTACAAGACTTACTTAGAAGACGAGAAGGAAAGTATATACCTTCATTAAACTGCTCGGTTAATGATCCGCTTAAGTTTGGAATATCAGATTCTTGTTCTTCAGAAAAATCATTAGGAGCACAGTAGATAAACCTAATACATTCCCCTATGCCATTTGAATACTGTCAATTACAAGGGTCATCCATATTTCCTTAGTACTTAAACTATCCCATTGTCAATGACGATGATTAATTCAGCTCTAATTGATTTCAAATAATGAAATTTGACCAATTCTGAGTCACTTTATGCTGTCATGATGAGAAAACATTGATTATTACAGTAAAAATGCAAAATTTTGAGCACGATTTTGTTTTGTTTTTTATAATGCATATCTGAAATGAAACCTCCATAACATCATTCGTTCAGATCGACTGTCTAACTCTGATAAATTTACATAATTAACTGAAGTAACGAAGTAACTATAGTAAGCAGTCATTAATGGTCACGGCATCGTAAAGCCTCGAAATACTGACGCTGAACAGGTAAGAGGCTCCCATACGCCCGTATCAGAATTTTGAGTAATAAAACACATATTGGTTATGATAAGACAGAAATGGCGAGCCTGATAGCCGGTAGATGAGCTCGCGTTCTGCTGATGACCCAAATCAAATTGCATTTCCACGGCAAAAGCCGCTCTGCTCCATGCTGATTGTGTGTACTTCGATGATCTCTTTAATAAACCCAATAATCGTCTTCCAAGCCATCTCATTCATCAATATGACAATTAGCAAATATTTTACAATGAAAGGAAGCGTGCAGTTATGCAATATTGTCGGCGAGTTAGTGTCAGCTCGGTGGCTTCAGTCTGGGGTTATTTCTTGTTTTCCCTTATTTGTCATAATGAATATAGAAAATACTCGCTGAGACATTAAATTCAAATCAATCAATCAATTAATACTCAATTTTGAATTAGGAAAAACAAGCACTGTAGATGATGAGAGAGTGTATAATATTTCTCAAAATGGATTTTATGAAAACAAAGTTCTTCATACATCAGTGTTAAAATGCTTCAAAACTTAGATTTTACAAAACTTTTATACAAAGATTTATTTCAAAGTTTTTTCCCCTCTGACAGGATATTTTTTTTATCAACTTCAGATATCTATCTACCGGTAAATGTACTATTCTTTTTTTCAAATTGTAGCTTTCAGATTGAGGGACACTTAATTTGTCAACAGATACTTGAGCTCTAAGCATTCCTTACTTGTCGAAACAATCAGAAAGTTTACTTTTAAGGGTTAAGGAGTAACATGAACAACTTTAATCGAATAGATTTTCATTTTTCTTTCAAATTTTTTTTATAATGATGGGATTTAGATTCAATGGCGTAAAGTTGTATAGATTAATAAGGATGGTTGAAGAAAGATAAAAATTTGAACATCATAGAAAGTTTACAATTTCTTAATATTTTAAAAATTTATTATCCGCATCATTTACAACCAAAATATGCCCATAAATATATACCAATCTAGATATTACTTTTTTGTTAGTATAATCTGTCCTTAACTTTGTTTTTTTAATATCCATATACATGAATGTAGATCTTTGAAAACACCTTAGAAATATTACTGCATGGGGAATTAAGTGTGTCTTCCGACAATAAACCTTTCCTGGAAACGAAAGTTTTCGAATTCTTTTCTGTTGCTAATTGATTTCCTTTGAATGAAGCAAACTAAAGCGAGAGTTAATGATGTGTAACCTGTTTATTGGAGAATCAATGTAAATAGTATTATTGGGATTTTTATAAGCCTGAATATTGTAATGTAAATGACTCGCAGTGTTTGGTTAAATCTAATCACAAACGAAAAAGAGACCCTCATTACAATAATAATGAATACAGGGCATGCATCTGGATTGGTCCATCCAACAAACTTAACGTATTGTCATTGATTCATCTAAAAGTAAAAATGACACAAGTATCAATTGTAAAATGTATATTTACTGGGTTGTGTAACAATATGACAGCAAACCGCGCAGAGTTGGTCCATGAAGAGCATCTTGCAGATTCAGCAGACGAGACCTGCATCTACTGGTGACATGGCCATGGGTGAAGATGATATGAATTTCAGTCAGACATGTTCTGACTAGAGATCTCTTTGACGGGTCTTAGTGACTTGGCACCTTTAGCTAGCTGTAACGTGTGAGGTCTTTTGAATTTAGT